AGCCACTGACCGCCCCCACCCTCTGCAATGCCAGGTAAATCTAGTCTGGTTGTAAATGTAGGTTTGGTTTGTAGCACAGAATGGAACATTCACATTTTTTGCCTCTAGGCCAAACACATAAGAGCATAAGATGATCGTACTGGGTCAGACCAATGGTCCATCTAGCCCAGTATCTCCTCTTCTGACAAGTGGCCAGAGCCAGATGTTTTAGAAGGAATAAACCAATTAGGGAATTAGTAATGATCCTCCTCACATTGTCCAGTCCCAGTTTCTGGCCGACAGAGGATGAGAGACACACGGAGCATAGGGTTGCGTCCCTGCCCACACTGGCTAATTGGAACGATGCTCCCTGAACTTATCTAATTCTTTTTTGAATACAGATGTGATGCAGCGGATGCTAGAAACTGGGGCCATTTCTGTCGCCAAAGTTGGGGACAATCGTATTACTTGTAGTAAAGGCAAGACCTTAATCAGCTGAACTTTCGGAAGCTGCTTGTGCTAACCAGCTTGCTTTAAGGACTGCCTCTGGAAAGGGAAACGCTTGCAAAAGTGGACATTAGCAAGAAGGATCACAGCCTCGGCTGATGAGCATTGGCTAGTTATTCGATGCTGCTTCCAGAAATCCTGCTTTCCAAGGGCTTCCATGTCAGCTGGTGCCTGTCCAGGATTAGTCACATCGGATGCTGTGATGACACAGGAGGGGAGTTTAAGTGGGTGCAATTTGGATACTTTGAGGGACTGTGCAAGGAGTCTTCTATGTTCAGGGGTGCCCTCCATGACTAGAGCCCTGTGCCGAGGCAAAATTGGTGTCCTCGTCTGCAAGAATGATCCACAGATACCCCTCCCCATCTGCAGATGTCCATGGATATAAAGCACATCACTTCCGAGTTGCAGGTCTCTCTCCATGACTGTGGGCCATCGCTGTGCCTAACACCAGGGAATGACCTGCAAGACTAGCTGTGTCTGGAGCGTGCAAGGAGAGACCATCATGCAGCTAGTAAGGATGAGGTGGAAAACTCCATTTCCTGACCCACGGGGGTTCGAGTGAGACTGTACATGAAAAAAGCCATAGTTCTTCCACTGTTTCCCTAAATTTCTCCATGTCCTTACCAAACCCCTCCCTATGACATTAAACCCATTAAAAAGAACCATAAAGGCGTACAAGGATATTGAAATATTACACAGGCCCTGCAGTGCTTTACTCTTCAGGCCAGTATTTTAACTAGACCCTATCAACTTGATGGACTTGGAAAGAAGATCTTGATCCAGTCCATAAATGTAGGTAGTAACAAATAGGAATTGGCGCTCTCCCAATTGACATCACGGAGCCACACGTTGCAAGTCGCACTTGCAGCCAGCAGACTGTTCAAAGCAGCAGGAGTTATCTTGAGGCAGCCTGCCCAGACGCATGAGTGCCTGAAGCTCACATCTTCAGGTCTTGCCCACAGCTGCCGCCTGCCTGTCCAGGATCAGTGAGGACGAAGGAAGGCGCACGACTCGGATCACAAAGGGGAAAGAAGCTCAGAGAAATGCCCTTCGTCGGTTAGTAACCTGGCTTTCCCCCGTGTTCAGGGGTTCTCCACAGGGACTGACACCCAGGTGGGCTAGAAGCAGAGGTGCATTCGGCTGACGAGAGAAACGAAATGTCAATACCGAAGAGGAGACCGCTGTCCACGCTGCTTCTTCTGCTTTGGGCCAGGCATACACAAGACATCTAGCAAAGAGCTGCCTTTTGGTGACAGGCATTCTCCTCTTTTCTTTCTTGGAACCAAATCCAGTAAAATCAATTGGAACCGCAGTTAAAACGGCCCCAGTGTGATGTTAGTGCCAGAATGCTTGGCAAGATTTCTCTGATCTAACTCTAGGTCAGGAGGCCTAGAAAACCCCAATGAGAATAGTCCCTCCTCCCCAAATGGGGGACATCAGGGAGGGGATACATTTCCCAGAAAACAAAGACCCTGCTTTCCTGCTGGGGTCTGATTTGCACGATTGTGGCAATTCGGAAATGTCAGAGTTAGGACGAGATTGAAAAAAAAAACCCCTCCTGTCTGCCACCACACGGGATTTAAAACACGCCTCCCACTTCTAACTAAAAATTAACCCGAAATAAACCCTGTTGCTCTGCAACCGATGGGGTGAGCGGGTGGGTCAAAGCGGGAGCCCAGACGCTAAGAAACACTGGAAATCAGATGCACAGAGCCCTGCATATCCTCAGATACCTGGGCAGGGGGCACCCCCCAACCGCCCAGTCGCAAGGCCGAGTGGGGTGCGCCAGGGCAGGCTGCTGCACTGTTGGCAGGGAAAGGGTACCAAAAGCTCCACCCTAAATTTCCCTGCAGGGGGGGCTGAGTGATGACCCTGCCCTCCTCCACCCCTGCCTGGTGAGCACTGACCTGTGGAGCCCGAGCCCCGGCTGCCCCTTCTCCCCCTTCCTCCCCAGTCCCTGCTTTCAGGCTGCCTGGCTCTTCCCAGCACAACCCTGCCCCCTTCCTCGCTCATCTGTGCTCCCCCTCCCCTCCGGATCATTTGCTGTGCGGATGCCAGTAAAATCCGGACTGGATGATGAATTGAGCCTGGCGGAGGCGGATCCACATTTTTGCATCCGCGCAGGGCTCTGCAGAGGCACGGTCCCGCCGCTGCTGAGACACAGTTCGTGCAAGCTGGAGTGAGCACCAATTTTCTTGAAAGTTTCCAGCAGTGGCTGGCTTGGTGCTGACTGCTGGAGTGGAGATCTGGGGAAACAAGCCCATGCTAAACGTTAACAGAGAAACGCTTTTTCCTGACAAGTGAATGTGCGCCGACAGCAGAGAAGTCACTGGGAGCTGTGCATGTATGTCTAGAAAAAGAATTGTTCCCTTGATATTTAAGGGATTCAGGAGGAACTAAGACGTTCAGAGGCTTAAAAAAAAAAAAGCCTTGTGTAACATCAGTTTATGGGACAAAGATCTTGTCTACACTTAAAAAAGACTTGGTGGTAGTCATAATGAGAATCTTTCCCCCATGGAGAGGCAGCTTGTTCCAGCAAAATAACTCTTTTCCTGGTATAGCTTAAACCAGTGTTTCTCAACCAGTGGTATGAGTACCTTTAGGGGTACTTGAGAGAAGTCGGATCTACAAAACTGAATTTTTGTTTTAATTTTTACAGTGCTTTATTATTTTTGTACTTTTTACACCCCAAAATTTCATCACCCGCCTGGCTGTGATTCAATTGTTTAAACAAATATGTTGCAATGGTAGCAAAAAAAATTGTGTGTCTGAAAACTGTAGGTACTGGGGGTACTTATAATTTTTAAAAGGGGTACTTTATTAAAAAATGGGTGAGAAACACTGGCGTAAACCAGCTCCCTGAACAGAATAAGCTACACGGACAAAAGGGCTTTATGTACTTTGCTATTTCAGTTCTGTAGCATTCCAGCTCCTGTTCCTGATCCAAAGATTTCAGGGAAGCCACCCACTCTTGGAAATCCCATTACATAATTCAAAAAAGCAGTCCTTACGCGCCTTCTTTGAGCACAAGTCAGACGCGATTAAGGTAACATTCTAAATCTGCAAGCAAACTTACAGATGGCAGAGGCCTGAGGATCTTCTAATAAACAGAGCCAAAGAAAAAATTGAAAAAAAACAACAACAACCCGCTTAATAATGGATCAAAGTTAACATAACGTCTACCAGCTATGAAGAAGTCAGGTCTCATCTGATATGCAGGGTATTGGGAAACAAAGGATTACCCCATTGATTGGGCTATGCAGCGGCCAATGCTCAGCCCAGCAACTCCGAGAGGAGTCAGGGACTCACATGGGCAGAAACTGCACGTGGCTAAAGCAGAGCTCTCCTGGGAGAGGACACAAAGCGAAGGAAGCGGAATACTTACCGGCAGATTCAATTTAATTGCGTCCACGGGTTGGTAGAAGGGCCACGCAAACTGATGCTTCCACAAGGTCTTCACCACCACGTTTTGCATGTACTGCAACTGGTTGGTCTTCCGCCCGGGTTTGTTGGGGTTGGTGACCTCCGGCGGGGGTGGATTGACAGGACCCTGGGGAGCCTGTATCGCTGATGTGACCGTCGACATTTTCCTACCGCTGGGTCTCACTTACTGTTGCAGCAGCCACTAGGAGATTCCCGGTCTTCCTTTATGCTCCCTGAATGGGATGGATATCCCATTGCCAGGGCCCACCCATGCAACCTAGACCACGAAAGAGAGGAGGACAAGGGGGAGTGTAAATAAAGACATTTAATCGAAATAAACAAGTTCAAAAACAACACACAGGCTAGACGTGACTAACCCAATACCTTCACCTGATCCACTACACTTGCAAAATCCTGGTACAAAATCCTAGATAAAGGGATTGGATCAGCAGTTCCCAAACCCATGGTCTGGTCTAGGGATGTAAGCGACTAGTTGACTACTGGACTATCCGATAAGCATAAGCTTATCGGCAGGGCTCCGCCAAGAATTGA